GGGGGGGGGACGACTCCGCGACAAAATGCAAAACTTGTTATGAACACCTTATATCAAGTCTACTGTCAAAGTGACCTGTTGTAAATCTCTATTTTCCCCCGTTTTACCTTTTTTTATTTTATTAAAGGTTTCTTGCGTTGAGCCGGTCATATCTCAGAGCGGGAGGCCCCCGTGGCTCGCAGGAAATAAATAAGACATAAACTACTTGAATCTCTAATGCCTCGTAGAGCTTTTTACAAATCGAGCTGGAAATACGTCAGGGGAAAAGACAAATTGCGTTGGGTTCACCGGGAAAATTATCTCGATTTTATGCAAAATAAATAAATTCTGCACCAGGTGATATTCAAGAAGTACGTCTGCGAAGASAAATGATTATTAAATGTTTTAAATTATTGGAAAGCCTTGTGCACAAACCCACACTCTCAGGTTGTGAGCGAGGGACGACTCTCCACTACTACCGTGCTGTAGCCAGAGTTGTAGCCATCCTTATAGGTGACGGCCATCTTGAATGGGTTCATTCTATTCCATTCCATTCTCGAAGTTTCATTAAAGTYCCTGTGACATCAAATTTTTGTAATAAACATGAATGCATTTTTGGAAAGATAACATTGTTAACATGTTGCAAAACAAATTTCACATCGCTCAGATGAACGGTTGTTGAGATATTGGCATGTGAAGAAACAGGAAGTGATGTCAAAGGGGAATGTCTGCATGTAAACAGAGCGTTGTTACAAAGCTAATAACAGACTGTAGAGAAGAATCTGATGTTTCTTTAGATTATTTTTAGTCACTATCAAAGAGACGAAGAAGAGTTAAAATTTAAATTTTATTTTGATAAACCGAGACCAGCGAGTTAATTTTATTAATGAGTTCCCCTTTGATGTCACTTCCTGTTTCACTTTGGCTGAGACAAATTTAAAAGTAAACAGACCAGTTATGTGACAAAATGGGTAAAACCATGTGTATTACGCTAATTTTCTTAATTATAAAGATGCTTTCTTTAACTTTTTGTATTTGAAGGATGAGCATGTCACAGTTKCTTTAAAGTCCGTCCAGTGGTTGGTGAGATATTTTGCTAACAGACAGAGACAATAATCCCCCGGCTCCGCCTCCATCGCTCGCTGTCAGATTATGACTCAATCTGAGGAGACGGGTCCATTAGTCCAGAGGTGAATAATCTGAGGAGGAGACATTAACAATTCATGTTAGCTCATCAGTCTTACAGTGAAAATAACAGAAACTATTTTTAGTTTCAGACAGTAAGAGGCTCCGCCCCCTTTCTCCTCCTGACTGGGAGGAAGACGTGCAGGAGACGGACAGGAGGAGACAGTGAGTTCCTGACAGCTGCTCTGACGTCTCTTCTGTTTCATGTTTAGAGACCAGGGTCCTCCAGCCTAGAGCCATCAAGTAGTGGTCCATGGGCCAAACCTGGCCCTCAGAAAAGCCCCTTCTGTCTCGCAGAATGCTGAGTCACCATTCAGGCTGTTGCTTTTGTCTTTATAGTTCCTTTAACATACTTTCAACTGAGCTGCAGCTTTTATAGCTTTTAGCTATGGATAAGCCAAATTTAGCTTTTTGTTGTGGTTTAGTTGTTTTTAACTTTTAGCTGCAAATGAGATAATTTTAGGTTTCAGGTAAAGTTTTGCCAATTTTAGCCTCATGTACTGTTTTGTTCATTTTAGCTTTCAGTTATAATTTAGCCTGATTGAGCTTCTAGCTTCTATATGAAAATGTTCAGCTCGCTCTGGAATTTAGCTCATAGTTACAGTTTCGCAAATTTCAGCTTTTTCTGCATTTAGCTAGTTATAGGATTTGGCCAGAAATTAGCCAGTTTTGGTATTTATCAATGATGTAGCCAGTTTTAGGTTTTAGCTATGAATTAAATGTTTAACAGAAGATTAGATAGCTTTAGGTTTTAGGTACTGTTTCCTTCATTTTAGCTTTTATCTATAGATTTGTTTTAGCTTCTAGCTATAGTTTAGCCAGTTTTAGTGTAGCCCTAAAATTCTTCTCGTTTTAGCTCGTGTTCAGATCATTTAGCTCATGTTTAGCTTGTATTAGTTTGTGTTTTTATTGTTTTCTGCTCATTTTAGCTGTTAGCATCTGTTCTTGTTTTAGCTTTTCCCTTTTCAGCAGTGTTTTTCATATTTTAGCTTGTGTTCAGGTCATTTTAGCTTGTGCTTTGCTCATTTTAGCTTTTAGCATCTGTGCTTGTTTTAGCTTTTCACCGTTCAGCAGTGTTTTTCTGTTTTAGCTCGTGTTCAGATCATTTTAGCTTGTGCTTTGCTCATTTTAGCTTTTAGCATCTGTTCTTGTTTTAGCTTTTCACTGTTTGGCTCTTTGTAGTTTTCAGTGTTTTTCATATTTTAGCTTGTGTTCAGGTCATTTTAGCTTTTAGCATCTGTGCTTGTTTTAGCTTTTCACTTTTCAGCAGTGTTTTTCATATTTTAGCTTGTGTTCAGGTCATTTTAGCTTTTAGCATCTGTTGTTGTTTTAGCTTTTCACCGTTCAGTTGTGTTTTTCTGTTTTAGCTCGTGTTCAGGTCATTTTAGCTTGTGCTTTGCCCGTTTTAGCTTTTAGCATCTGTTCTTGTTTTAGCTATTCACTGTTTGGCTCTTTGTAGTTTTCAATGTTTTTATTGTTTTAGCTCGTTTTGCTCATTTTAGCTTTTAGTTCGAGCTTCTCCAAGAAATTCAGTCCAAATCCATGTCACATATTTAGCAGAAAACTCTTTTTTAAAATTTAAAGTTTTTATTTTATTTTCCACAATAAAAGCCCGGGTCCTCTTTAGATTCTGCTCCGGAGGATTCTGGCCCCTGAACAAATCCTGATGTTGACCTTTGACCCCTGTGTGGATTAAATTAAAGGCTGACTCTATGGGAACAAGTGGACGTTCAGGAGCATTTTGGGGCTTTTATTTTGTAAACACAACCACTTAGTGATGAAATAATGTTGCTGATAGACGTTTGTCAGTGCACACACACACCAACACACACACGCACTGACACACACACGCACTGACACACACACACACACATACACACACCAGGAGGCCTTATTAATTATTTGTACCCACTTGACTTCATATTGTGCTTCCAGTGGCTTTGGTCAAAGATTATAATTACCACTTCCCTGTTTGTATCATTTTCCATCTCCTGTGCTTTTAGTGCCATATTACTCCTCCTGTCCCTCACCCCCTCCCTCCTCCCTCTCCTCCCCGCCGTATACACAAGACCAAAAGTGCAGCCACATCATTTATTGATAAGACAAAAAGAATGTAATGAAATTATCAATGTTCTTGAATTAATTATGAACATGATTAAGAAAGCTAAAATCTCAGGAGCCAGTCCCTTATTACCCGCTCGCTCTCAGGGATTGCTTTCATTTCAGGGGAGGAGAGGCGAAAAAAGCCTCGCAGCAGAGCCCGGTCCGGCTCGGCTCGGCTCGGCTCGGCTCGGTCCATCCCCGTCCTTCCCGCAGACCCATCTGGACCCTGTCTGGGTCCGGTGCCGCCTCGTGGCCTCTGACGCTCCTGTTCTCCTCCTGACGCCGAGCGCTCGGGTCTCGACCTTAAACTGCAAAAACACAAACGGTCCAGGTAAGGAGACGTTTTTACACTTTTCTGATTGTTTATMTTAATAAAAACCATCATTTCTTTTATCTAAACAATACATTTAAATAAATATTTATGCTGCATTTTATTTTTTTATGATTGGTTGAAAAGGAAAAGTCAAAATTATCCAGAATCACTTCAGATTTTAAAAAGTAAAGTATTTCTCTTGAAGGCTGTTTATTCCTGTTCAACCTAAATTAAATTAAGTTTTTATCTAAATAAATGAAATCAAAATGTTGCATAAATTACATTTATTTCTATTTTTGATTAAAAATGATGAAATTATTTATCAAAATTGAGTTTTAATTTGTAATTTACATGAAAAAAATGTGTTGTTGCAAAAATTTGTGATTTAGCTTGGTAGATTTAATTTTTAATTTTTATTTTTAGCTCTTTATTTGTTTTACACAGAAGGTTTTATTGCAGTAATTTCATGGATTTATATTCAGGCAGCGTGACGGAGCAGAGAATCTCAGCTTCAGTCGAACTTTTTCCTCTCTCGGTCACATGGGAGAGTCTGTTTGGACAAAGTACGAATAGTTTCAAAAAAAAAAATCCCAAAGTGTCTGCCTCTTTTCTTTTTTCAACACCATCTCTTGATAGCTCCAGCTTTCTGTTCTAACACACACACACACACACACACACACACACACACACACACACACACACACACACACAGAAACAGACGGTCTCAGCTCGGGGACATCCTGAAGAAAACTCACCAACACGAACTTGTTGGTACATTTTAAGAATTTAGAGTAAAAATTTGTTTTTAAAAAATCCTGTTTGGTTTGTTGAATTGCTTAAAATCTGTGATTTCAGCTGAAACCCTGGGTGGTAGTAGCTGAGAGTCATTAATGACAGGATGACTCTGGCCTCTGCATGGCTTTAAGAAGTGCTCGGCCTTTAATGATGTAAATGCTGAGTCATCGTTGTTGTTTTTCTTTACAGTTTCTTCAGTTTGTTCTTCAGCATCTAGCTTCTTCTGCAGGCTTTTCACTGTTTTAGCTGTTCATATTTTAAAACGTTCGGCTCGTTTTGGAGGTGGCTGCTGTGAGTTTAGATTTGTTTTATCTTTTATACTTTTTTAAACATCTAATATTTATGATTTATTAAATGAACGGGGGGTTAAACTTTAGCTTTTTGCTAATCTTGATGACTAATTTTTGACAGCTATTTTTGTTCATTTTAGTTTTTAGCTACTGTTTCGTAGGTTTGAGCTATTTTTGTTCATTTTAGCTACGGTTATGTTAATTTTAGCTTAATGTTTTTGTAAATAGTTTTGTTTTTAGCTGGGGGTGGGTTCTTTTGGTTTTAGATTTCAGCTATTGCTTTGCTAATTCTACGTATTGTTTGGTATTTGTAGCTTTTTTTCTTTACTTAATGTTTTTCTTATCTAATTGTATTCCTTAGCTACTTGATTTGCTTATCTTTAAGGTATTGCTGTGTTGTTTTTAGCTACTTTTTTCTTGTTTTAGCTTTTGTTTTATTAGTTTTACCGTTTCTTTGAGCTTTCGGCTACTGCTTGTTTATTTCTAGTTATTGTTTTCTTGACAATCTTAACTTTTACTCTTTTAGTTAGCTTTAAGCTACTGTCGTGCTAATTTTTGATTTGTTATTTTAGCTTTAAATTTTTGTTTTTCTGGCTTTAGCTTTAAGTACAGTTTACTGGTTTTACAATTAGTTAATGGTTTCTAATACAGGCTTTTAACTAGTGCTGTAGTTGGCTTTAAGTTACTCTGTCCTAACATTAGGTTTTAGTCATTTTTGTTGCTATTTTTAACATTTGTTATTTATAAAGTTTTGTTTACTAGCTTTAGATTTAGAGTTTTGCCAACTTGGATTTGTCTGGTTAAACAACGGTAAACTTTAGGTATTGTTGTTTTTTTTTATCTTAGCTTTTGGCTAGAGTTGTAGTTAGCTTGTTATTTTTTATGTTTTGTTTTGCTAGTTTTAATGTTTAACTAGCTAGCTATAGCATTTAGCAACACTGTTGCTAACATTAACTACAGTTTTGCCAGTGTTACAATTCAGCTTGTTTTGCTAAATGTAGCTATTTTTTTAACTAATCAGAGCTTTAGCTACTGCTGTGCTAATTTTATGGTTTGAGCTACTGATTTGTGCTTCAGTTTTTTATCTTTTGTTTTCCTAGTTTTAGTTTCACAAGCTTTAGCATTTAGCCAAAGTATAACTAATTTTAGCTACAGTTTTACAGTTTCTTCTGTTTTGCTAATATTTATTAACTAATCAGAGCTTTAAGCTACTGTTGTGCGAATTTTATCGTTTGAGCTACTGATTTGTGTTTCAGTTTTTTATCTTTTGTTTTGCTAGTTTTAACTACAGTTTCATTAGCTTTAGCATTTAGCTAAAGTATAACTAATCTTAGCTACAGTTTTGATAGTTTGTTCCGTTTTGCTAACTTTAGCTTCTATTCTGCCTGTCTTAACTTCAGCTTCAGCAGATCTTTTAGCAGAAAATGCAGATTTTTTTCTTTGTGAAAGTGGCCCTCCTGCGGGGCAGAAAGAGAGAAATCTTCGGGGGTTAATGGCCTCCCCCCTCCCGTCCCGCGGATCGATCCGAGTATTGAATCGCACATAAAGCTGCAGTTACTGGATATTACCGGGCTGCTATCGGGCCCTGCAGTGATGGTCCTGGATAAGAAGTGCTTACTGAAGGAGGATGCTCCTCCGGGGGCAGATACGGTTACCCGCCCCTCGGGGAGCAACAACCGAACTGCCTGCTGCTGGCTCAGGAACTTTCTAACCTCATCGAGTAAATCCAGGAGGCTTATCGAGTTACCGACCCAACGGGTCAGAAAATGTTTATACCTCTTCGGGTCCGAAGCTGCAGTTAAACGGCACCTGCGTCTCACAGATAAGAGCGCCGATTGTTTCAGGAGGAGTTTTATGTCCGACCGAGTCCGGTTATCTCACGTTTGCTTCAGAGCAGGAAGCAGCTTTTGAGGGTTTTATCGGACGGAAACGCTGAGTTCAGAAACTTTACTTTGACGCTTTCGGCTCAGAGATTCKCACAAAATGTTGTTTTCAAGGTTTTTGACCAAAGCGACTCCATCGTTCCGTCGACACGAGACGATCTGAGAGTAAAACTCTGACAGGAAAGCTGCTGGGCGACATGCAGTCCACCGATACATGTTAGGACTTTAACTGAGTTAATGCTGAGTCAGCGTTTATCAATGCTGAGTCAGCGTTTACACCGACAACTTCCTGTTTGTTGGTTTTCTGTAAGAGTTTTGTAACTTTTGTCTCTCTGCCCACCTGTCTTTCTCTCTGTTTCTCTCTCTCTCTCTCTCTCTCTCTCTCTCTCTCTCTCTCTCTCTCGCTCTCTCTCTCTCTCTCTCTCTGTGCCTGTCTTTCTGTTCATTAGTCTGTCTCTCCATCTGTTTGCCTGTCTTCCAGTCTCTCTCTTCCTGTCTGTCTTCTCTGCTCTGGTTTCCTTTTTAGATCTGTCCAGGGATTAGCCGAATCCAGATCCATGCCAGGACTGGACAGACCTCCCCTTGTAGCATCTGTTTCATGTCTCTCTGCGGTATTACCCATGATGCACCTGGCGCGAGCCACGCAGCAGCAACCAGAGCCCAGATGGCGGCTAAGCAGGCTAATTATTTCAACACAAAACTCTGATGTCCCACTCCGGCGCCGGGGGGCCACTTTGGCACCGGAGCTCCTCTGTCTCCAGTTCTGCTGGTGAGGATCTCTGCCACGGATCCATAAAGATGTCAAGTGGGTACTCGTGGACCTGGACAGGCCCCGGTTCAGTACTTGGGAGTCCAGATGTAAATGCGGACCCCTTTAGTGAAGCAGGGGCTCGCAGGATGACGTTTGTTTTCCTGCTTATTGCTCACTGATGCAGCTGCAGAGCCACTACCTCAGAGTTTAGATGCTTCATTTTCATTCAGACCTGCTGCCAAAAGCAAACGGGCGATAATGTTTTCACCCATGCGTGGTTTAAATAAAAATACTTCTCTCTGACCAACTCTGGCCCACACATTGCACACGGCCCAAATACTGAAAAGAAAGACAGCTCTTTAGTGGCCCCGATGTGGTTTGCCAGAGATGGTCCATGCATGAACCAGCACCACGTAAACCTAACCACAACTGGGCCAGTGGTGGCATTGTCAGAAATGGACCACATAAACCAAACCAGAAGTGGACCAGTGGTGGAATTGTCAGAATTGGGTTATATAAACCAAACCAGAAGTGGGCCAGTGGTGGCATTGTCACAATTGGGCCACACAAACCAAACTAAAACTGGGCCACTTGTGGGGTTGCCAGATTAGGGCCACATAAACCTAACCACAACTAGACTAGTTGTGGCATTGTCAAAATTGGGCTACCTAAACCAAACCAGAAGTGGTCCAGTGGTGGCATTGTCAGAATTGGGCCACACAAACCAAACTAAAACTGGGCCACTTGTGGGGTTGCCAGATTAGGGCCTCATAAACCTAACTGCAACTAGACTAGTTGTGGCATTGTCAAAATTGGGCTACCTAAACCAAACCAAAAGTGGTCCAGTGGTGGCATTGTCAGAATTGGGCCACACAAACCAAACTAAATTTGGGCCACTTGTGGGGTTGCCAGATTAGGGCCTCATAAACCTAACCACAACTGTGGCCATTGTGGCATGCCATCTTAAAAACAGTTCTATCATTGCCAGATCTGMCCCACATCTGGTTGYCAAACCACTTGCCATGCCAGCAGTCAGTCAACAGGGCCAGCTTGATCACCAGATCTGGCCCACACCTGTCTGCAATGTGGGACGGTCTCTCCAAGGACTCCTGGGTCTCTTCCCAGTCAGACATACAGGTAGCACCTCCCTAGGGAGGCATCCAGGGGCCATCCTTACCAGATGAACCACCTCACCTGGTTCTTCTCGATGTGGAGGAGCATAAGCTCCACTCAGTCTCTCCTGGAGAAGAGATGCTGTAGCTACACAGTGAAGAAAACTCCTTTTGACCACCTGTATCTCAGATCTCATTCTTTGGATCAGTACATTATGGTACAAAGTGTACCCCATTCATAGTGTACTTTCTCCAAGTCCACAATATGCCGCATCCAGGACCCGAGGTAAAGAATACTTTCATCAGTTCTCATTAGAAAAACTATTTCTTCTAGAAGAAATGTTTCAACAAAGAAGAACCTGTTTAGGTCAATGATTCCCAACCAGGGGTACATGGAAAAATTTCCCAGGTGTGTAAAAAATAAAAGTAGGACTGAAATATGTAGGGCTCTGTGATTTCCGCYATGCGGAAAATGCAGGTGGAATCACGGAATTAACACAAAATGGAATCCAGTAGAAAATGTGGAATCTCACATCTCGAATTTGGTCATTTGGTGTATTTGATGCATTTTGGATGCATCTGTTTTTCTGCACCTGCCGTTACGTGGTTTATTTATTTAATTACTTATACACTTTCAAGGGACCATTTTATATTTATGTCTAATTTGAGTTAAAAAATATAAAATGCCTGAGAATTAAACATTCTAGGGAGTTAAATAATGTCGCCAGGCTGACATTGTAAATAAGATTTTCTTAATGTTTTACCTGGTTAAATAAAGGATAAATAAATAAATAAATAAATAAATAAAATTAATTTTCATTTAATAATCATCAGTTGTACATTATAGTTTTGGAGATTCATCATTACGTTTGACTGAAGGGGTACTAGTGGTATGACAAAATGGCTCAGGGGGTACACAAGTCTAAAAAGACCTGACTCAACCTTGTTAGAGACAATAATGTTTCTGTAATGTGGCTCAAATCTGTCAAAGCCACAACTGGCCCAGTTCTAGTTTGGTTTATGTGGTTCTGTTCCATGCATGGACCACCGCTGACAAACCACACCTGGGCCACCAAAGGGCCGTCATTCTTTTCTGTATCTGGGCTGAGTATTGGTGCGTTGCGTGGATGGATCTGTTGGTGCTCACAGTTTATATTGGGGATAACTCTCAGCTACTACCACATTGATTTTTTGCTCATTATCTGTAAACTTGACTTGATCAGTTCCATTTTTAATACTCGTGTTACGACACTTCCACTGCAGACTCAGAGAGGAAGTATTTTGTAGACCCCAACTCCAACACAGATGAGCTGAAATAAAGCCATAAAGTACGTAATTTMTCCCCGTACAGTTCTATCTCATGGTCTCCCCACCACCTCCTCTCCGGTTCCCCCTCCCCTGATGTGGATCCCATCTGCTTCAGGGACCTCTCCCCAGCATGCAGGAGCAGGATAAGCACACCATTTCCCTGTCAATACTTTGCTATTAGCCTCTGCAGATCCATACATCACCGAGCTGCAGGCCCTGAACAGTGTAGGGTTGTTCTGGTTTATCTGAAGGGCCGAGGCTGAGGGTCTCTTGTCTGCCCCGCGCTTTGATTTATCCAACCGCGGCGGGTTAATGAGAAATGGCCCTTTGCTCTTACCCTCGGGGGGTAAAGAACATGCACATAAACGAGTGGAGGGGCAGGACAAAGCAGCCAAATGGCGAGCTCTAAAAGGCACTTATCTATGGTTGACAAATAAAGGTGGGAAAGTTGTGTACAGCCCTTCCTGCCTTCCTGAATTAATTGGTGAGATAATGTGATTTTCATTTAGACCTCGAGTTTAAGAAACACCATTAAAGGGTTTGGTGTCGAATAAAGAAATCACCCACTGCACTTTCAGCTAAACCAAAAAAAAAAAAACTATTCTTTCTTACCAAATGTTTTTTCAGGATCCATTATCTGTAAGTCTCTTGAGGTTGTCCTCTGGCAGATTTACTTCAACTTTTAGTCTTGTTTAACCATCAGCCCTGGGCATATATTGAGCYTCAGCTAGCAAACAGAAACCATGACATTATCCTGTAAGACAGTGGTGTCCAAAGTCAGTCCTCAAGGGCCAGTGTCCAGCATGTTTTAGGTGCTGCTCTGGTTCAACAACAGCTGAACCTAAGAAGTGGGCCTCTGCAGACCTTGATGGCATACTGGGGAGGTCTACTAATTGAACACTCCTTAGGTTCAGCTGTGTTGAACCAGAATAGCACCTAAAACATGCTGGACACCGGCCCTCGAGGACTGACTTTGGACACCGCTGTTGTAAGAGATCCTTCGTGAAACAGATTCAGGAGCTGAGCGTCGTCGCTCAATGTTCAAGAAGTTTGTGGTTGGAACTCGAGTTAGTTCTCCAACACACAACAGCTAACCTGAACCTAAATTAGTTCTTCAAATAAAGTCCTCACTAACACCATCAAAGCTGTACGACTGAGTTGGTCAAACCATGAAAACTACGTTATACTCAGTGTCACGGAATAAAGATACACCTCACAGAGTATGTTAGGGATGCTTCTCAGCTACTACCACACCAAATTTTAGCTCAAGTTCAAGAATTTGTTGCACAGCAAGTAGACATAAAAATAACAAATCATTCATGCACAAATACACAAAAATCACAGATGTTCATTAAGAAATTGAACTGCTGCTTGAATAAACGAGTTTTTAAATCTATTAGTCCTACATTTGGTCAACTGATACCTGCATCCAGACAGAAGCAGCCTGAACTCACCATAGAGTGGGTGATCAGGGTCTAGCCTTTTTCAATGACCTGACTTTGTGTAGGGCAGTGAGAGTCTGTAGGTCTATACCAGCAGTTCTGTTGAACATCTTGACAATCCCCAAAAGTTTACTCTTGTTCTTACAGGTTAAACCACCAAACCAACACATAAAAGTAAAAGTTAAAAGAGACTCAATAAAACACGAATAAAACATTCTCATAACAGTAGAAACGACATTAAACCACAGAGCTTCCAATAAAAATACATTATCTGATGGGCCTTCTTACAGAGTGAGTTAACGTGAGTTCACGTCCGTCCATCCATCCATTTTCTTCCGCCTATCCGGGGTCGGGTCGCGGGGGCAGCAGCTTCAGAAGGGAGGCCCAGACC